TTAACACGCACACCACTGGGCGCAGCCATATTGGATCATACTGCTGCTGCCGCCTGTCGGGCGAGAACAAGGAATAGTTACAATACATAGAGTTGCCGGCGATGATGCAATAATCGTACCGGCCACGGGCGGGTCGGGTTGCGACATCGCAATGAGTCACCACGGTACGGCCAGGCACAGCGATTGCACCACCGGTCGAAATCGGCGGGCTGGCTGAGTATAAAAGGAGCACAGAATCGCAGCTCAGGGAGTTATTTTCAGGTCTAGGTAGGAGGAAGAAGGAGAGGACGAAGACGAAGAAGAAAGGGAAAGGGAGAAGCAGCCGAGGACGAAGAGAAAGAGGGGCAGTGATAGGTACAGGTCCAGGAAGAACAGGAAGAGGAAGAAGAAGAAGGGAAGGAAGCAGCCGAGGACGACGGAAAAGAGGGAGAGTTATTTTTCAGGCATAGGTTATAAGTAGGAAGGCGGGAAGAAGAAGGAGAGGGCATAAAACGGGCGAAGAACGGCATTCTGGTAGAGCTGGGAGCGACTGCGAAGGAGACACCTGGGAGACTGTGTTGATCCACGCAAGGCAAGGACGAACGTGAGGGAAGCAGACGGAGCCGGCGACGCGTAGAGGATTTAGACGGGATCAATAAAACTATTAAGAAGGCCGCTGCATATACGAATGCAGGGGAATCATTTGTACCTTGGTAACACGCAATAAAAGATATATCCCCGTATCGTTAACCGCATCGCACCGTGTTCTGTTCATCTGGTATTACCTGTTATCGGCTACGTGTCATCGCCGTCCTGCCTTAATACAAAGACAGGAGCGGACTCTGGATCCTATACTACTGGACACGCGTGGTGAACTAACGTCTGTCGAACCGTAGTCGTCTACCCTAGAGGCACTACATTACTAAGCGTCACTGGTGAAACAGTGTTTTACGCAGAGTGACTGAAGCTATTTAATAAGCAAGGTCAAGGGAAATTAAAATCACAAAAAGTAAACCTAGAACTTAGGTAAATTATATTTAATGAAGTAAAATAAAAGTGAAACGCGCACATGTCTCATTTCACATTAACATAACTAACTCGGGCCTACTAAGTGTCTCTGTTTTGCTGTGTTGCCCAGGGTGGCCTGCTGGGAATGAAGAAAGATTAGAAAGCCAGTCAGACAGTAAAGCAAAATTAACAACTAGGGATAGGCGGAAAGTAAAAAGTAATTAGAAATAGGTAGAAATAAAGCAGGAACTGCACCTCAATGTCATGTGATGTCCATTGCACTAATAAGAATATATTAAATCTCAAATAAATAAATAT